ATTTGATATTTTATTTATAAAAATATATATTTATAGCGATAAATCTGAAACGGTACGCGAAAAATTTCGGTATCTGGTACATACCGTTCCAGTAGCAAAACCGGTACACATACTAGTACGGTATTGACTACTTTGGATTCAGGTCAATGACATGGCAATATGGCAGGAGAGGATAGTAGAAATCATTTGTAAGCTAAAGCGAATCTTTCCACCTTCATTCTTTGACAGTATGGAGCATCTTGCAATCCACCTTCCATATGAGGCTCATGTAGGAGAACCGGTGCAATTTCAATGGATGTATCCATTTGAGAGGTAAATATAATTAATGTGTAATATATGAAAATAAATATAACTCCATATATGATATTTTGTTTCATTGAGGTTAGAATACCAATCTGGTACTTCAACTTTCAATTTTATATCAAAGCTACCATTGAACTTAAAAATAATTAAAAATGGTCCTTTCAAGGACCATTTTGAAACTTTTTTAAATTTTGAGGGTATATTTGATATAAACTTAGAAGTTGAGGTACGAAATTAGTATTTTAATCATAACATAATTATATAATAATTCTTGATGAATCAGGCGAATGTATTGTCTTAAGTTGACGGTGAAAAACAAAGCACGTCCTAAAGCATCCATATGTGAAAGTTACATAATGTCTGAGCTCACAAATTTTATCTTTCATTACTTTGATGATGGAGTACATAGTATGGCTGATAATCATTCTACGAATATTGTTGTTGGATTTGGTGATAATAGTGGCCTATCCATCTTTAAATGTGTTAGAAAACGTATTGGTTCCAAAATTGGAAGACGTTGCTTAATAGTAGAGGAACGCAAAGCTGCTTCGTATTATGTGTTAATGAATTGCGAAGAATTGCGAGGATGGGTTAGGTAAAAAACCTACACTAAAATCTTTAATTTGTTATATTAAGATTTATTGAAATTAAAATACTAACAATATATAAAAAACCATTATCATATTTTCTAGTTTATTTGAGAGAGAACAATGTCAAAATATGAATCCTCAACAAATTCAAGCAAAACGAGAGAGAGACCTTGTGCCCTGGTTTGAACAAGCTGTGAGTATTTAATAATATGACTATTCAATTCCTTAACATATATATGTTATATCTCTTCAAATGCATCTAACATTTTCTTCTGCAATCTATATATTTTAGGTAATTAGTGATGAGTTCATTAATGTCTATGAGCATATCAAAGGTTTATCTAACGATCCAAAAAATTATGTTTCTTGCTATAATGGATATATTGTCAATGAATTCCGATTTCACACTGCCCTCTATGGCAGAAATAAGCGAACAATGAATTATGATGTCGGTGTTGTCAGATCTATTGGTACTGAATCAGACTATGATTTTTATGGTGTGCTTCAAGAAATAATTCAGATTGAGTATTATGGATCGATCCATCGACAAGTAGTTGTTTTATTCAAATGTGATTGGTACAAGATTCCTCCTGCTCAAGGGGTTCAAGTGGATCAAAAACATCGATTGGTTGACATTAATCCTAGAAGATACCTTCGATCTTATGAGCCTTTCATTCTTGCTAGTTTGGCAAGGCAAGTTAATTACACACCATACCCATCTATTAATCATGAAAGAAGGGGATGGATTGCTGCACTTAAAATTAAAGCTAGGAGTATCATTGAGGCTCCTGAGAATAAAGATGACCAACAAGAATGATTGACACCATATTTCCAAGACGATAAGCCTCCTATTCCTCAACAAATAAATATTGATGACATTGCTTATGAACCTGTGCAATATTTTGATGGGAGGTTTATTGAAATACATGAAGAAGCTGATGTTGGGGAGGGGATTGGGGAAGAGGATGTGTTGACTCAATGTAGTCCAAGAGGGGGGTGAATTGGAGTTCCAAAAATTCTCCCCTTTTTCAACCACAAAACCAAAGTTAAAGAGAGTAGAGAAGAAGAGCTTGCACAATGAATTTATAGAGGTTTGGTCCAACCACTTGGAGCCTAGTCCTCTACCTTGGCTTCACTCACCAAGGATTTCCTCCACACTCTTCACTAAGAAAGACAAGGGTGGCTTAAAGGAGCCACTCAATCCTTGTACAAGAAGATGAGTATTTCTCTCAAACCTCACCCCTTTACAATGTAAACCCCACAAATCCTCTTAATAGATCACTCTTGAAGGAATAATCACACCCCCAAGAACATACACAAATAGAACAAGAAAAGGATTACAAGCAACGATCACTCAAAGATCAAAAACTCAAGTTAAAGCTCAAGTAGGTAGGTAAAGATCTTCAATGCAATATTCTCCAAACTTCTTCAGATTTGTTACCAACCATATTTATAGCCCCTTACTCGAAAATAGTTGTTTCTAGCCGTTGGGGGTCATTAAATGCCTTATAGGACGCAAAGCTCGAGTTGCAAGATTGTCAAGAGAGCCGGCTCAGCTTCCTAGAGCCGGCTCTATACAGCCGGCTCACCATTTCTGCAGCCGGCTTTGCGGGATTCCTGCACATTCTGTTTTCTTCCACAGCCGGCTGCAAAGCCTAGAGCCGGCTTCAGGATTCCAACTTTAAACATATTAAATAATCTTCAAATAACTCAACCATTGTGCATTAAATACACCCTCACAGCCGGCTACAAAGTGGGAGTCGGCTCTGCTTCCATTTTCCGCACGCGCCAAAGCAGCAATTGAATTTCTGGCCTGTAAAGCTGGCTCAACAAAATCTGCAATCGGCTCTCTACATTTTTGCTTCCCAGAGCCGACTGCAATTTTCTTAAGCCGACTCTCTGCATATTTTTACCCTTTGAGCCCTTTTTAATGCAATCTCATTTTGCTTACTTTGTAGTATATTGGCAATTTAACTATACACTTAAATAAATCAATTAGTCGCTCAAATGTGTTTTGTAATCATCAAAATCATAGGTACAACAGGATGAAGAAGGAGAATGGGAAGATTTTGAGACATCAAAAGAATAAAACATAGAACCATATGTTGAGGAGAATGATAGCAGTGATGAGTAGGCAATAATATTGAAATTATTGAAACTTATTATTATATTTATGGTTACTACTTGCTTGTTTGTACTTTTATAATTATAGCAGTTGTATTATATGTTATTTAATTTAAAATTGTATAACGTTAATATTACTTTTAAGTTAATATTTGCTTATTTATACTTCTATAATTGTATTAATTGGAATAAAATTTATATGTTTATGTTTTTATCATATTATTAATTTTATATTTTTTTGTCAATATTTATATAATTTTTTTATTTATATTAGTTATACTGCATGTTATTCACCTAAAATATAATTTGATTACTATTTGCTTATCTATAGAAATTAAAACTATTTTAATTTTTATTATGATATTAATAGTAATTTATTTATTGCATTTAAATTACTTGTATTAATGATTTATTTTGCATTTGTTATTTTTTTTTTTACAGTGGATTGCTGTAATTCTCGCTGCACGAAGGTTGTTGAATCCACCCAACTGCTACAACGGCCAAATCCATTTGACCCCCAGAGACGAGTTTAGGAGGAGCTTCCTACTGATGTGGTTCTGGAGACTCCAGCTTTAGATGCTGATATACAAGCCGAGTCTCCCAGTGATGAGGATACACCTATGGCTACCCCCCAGCAGAGACAGGGACGAGGGCAAGCTAAGCCCGTGCAGATGCCTACAAATGGGACGAAGATCCCATTAGAGCTAGATGAGTATGGTGGTTTGCCACAACAAGTCAGACGATAGATTGTGGTCCAGTTGCGGGAGAATCTCCCAGATGCTTACACATCGTGGGGACAGGTCCTTCGTGAGCATCGAGACATGTATTGGAATATATTCAGTGTACGCCCTAAACACTTAATTTCTATCTACAAATTAGATATTTTCAATTTCTATCTTCAAATTTTAAGTAATTTGATTTTTTTTTGTTATTATCATTAATATTTTTGTTATTAAATTACTTATTTATTTATATTTCTATTATTTTCAGCAAACATATGAATGGGATCTTGCGATTGATAAGATTGTAAACGATTTATGGAATGTGACAACAAGGATCAAGTTCAAGCATGAACTTAGTGAGTTGAAAGCTAAGTGTGCAAAGAGAAACTTTCAAGTTAAGCCTCCAGATATGAATCCAGAGTTATGGGTGAGACTTGTTTATTTATGGACTGAGGTAATGGAGTAAATTCATGTGTTTATTATTATTTATTTTTAAATTTTCAATTGCAATGTTTAATGTTTTTATCATATTATTAATTAAGAAAATATATGTGTTCATCACTTTTATAGGACAAGGGTCATTTGAGAAGGTCAAGTTCTGCAAGGGCTAATCGAGCCAAAAGATCGAGGGTGACGCATTTAAATACTCCTTAAACCATGCCGAGGAGAAAAACCTTAGTTCGGAAGAGTAGTAAGAAAGGAACCAAATCTAAGTCAATTCCTTCCTCTTCCTCTCCTCATCGGGTGTCTCCACACTCTTCAGAGCATTTTGAGGAAGTTTCGGTGGAACCCATAACAGGTATTTATCTTAGAGATTCTGAATTTGTTGAAGCTTTTACCCAAATTTATGCCAAGAAGAAAGTTTTATCTAGACATTGTATTTCTAATGTCATCTTGAATGATCAAAGCCTAAGGATTAAGAGCTGGTTAGAGGGTATAGGATGGTTTGAATTTGCTACCCAAAATTGCAAATCTTATCCTAGGTTAGTTAAGGAGTTCTACACAAACTATAGATATTCTGAGACATCAGTTTCTACTTCTTATGTCCGAGGGAAAGAGGTGTTTTTTGATGCTGCATATATCAATGAATTATTTAATCTTCCACAGGATGAAATCAACATGAATTTTGACAAGTTCAAAATGCCTACAACTAGGAAAATTGTGTTTGGAAACTCTGTCAATCCTACTGAAAAAATTCATCTTCATCACTTTAGTGTTGATACCAGGTTATTGTTGTGGTTTGTGACAAAAATTCTCTATCCTCGACAAGGTTCACATGGTCGTTTCACAAAGAAAATCTACATGTCATGGGACTAATTATGAAATGGAATAAACTTAACTTGGGAGCATTAATTATTAGCCACATGAGAAAAGCAATGAATTCCGATGAAGAATACTTGCCTTATGGTCACTTACTTACCAAATTCTTTGAAAAATGGGGTATTTATCTTTCAAAGGAACAATCTGAAGAAATCACTGAAGATGAAACTCTGATAGAAACTGCACTAAAAAGAATGAAATTTGAAAAGAAAGATGGTACTCAGGTAAGAATCAATAATCCACCAGAAGTTGAAGGTCCATTGGGTAAAGTCTTAGACAACATTGATCTTTTGAGTATCCAAATTGAAGCAGAACTCAACTCTAAATTTGCTGCCTTTGAAGAAAAAAATGAATAATCATTTTTCTATGCTTGAATCCTCCCTAAACAAAAAACTAACTCAACTAGAAAAATCTGTGGCAGCACTGACAAAATCCAACAAGAGGAAATGTTCATCGTAGTCACCCAGATGCAAGAGTTGGTTTATTTTGGTTTCAATTTGCAATGTTTAGCATGATTTGGGTATTTTGTACTCTTATATTGTCTGCTTTTTGTGTACTGCTTATTTGTATGTTTGAACCCTCTGTTATGCTTTGTGCTAACTTTCTTTTTCCTAATGACAAAAAGGGGGAGAAGAACTTAAATGAAAATTATCTTTATTACTTGTTTGTGTATTTCTTGTTGAAACTTGGAAGCCTATTTTGAGGGGGAGCTTACATTTATTATCTTTATTGTTTTAAGGCATGGTTTTGTCTTCATAAAATAGGGGGAGATTGTTAAGTTCTCTTTGTATTTTGATGATGATTTAGAACCATGAGTTAAAGAGTTTAATCTATTTTGTGTTAAGTGTGAAGGAAAGTTAATTCAAGGATTCTAATCTTTCCCCATGATTAGAATTAAATGTTGTCCTCCTTGTCCAGAGTTTTGGGTTCGAACTAATTTCAATTGATTCGAACCAATTTCATAGTTCTCTTTTCGAAAACAGTTTGAAGCAATATTTATGGCTTTGAAGCAAAAATTCTGGAAGAGAAATTTTAACAGGTCAATTATCTGTTATGCCTTAATGGGCCTTAGAGGGATCCAAAATACTAACCCATTTTCCAAGATGAGTTAGAGTCTACTATAGGAAGTAGAAAAAGGGGTGGAAGTTGATTGGAGCAATTATGAGGTGGCTTTGAAGGGCAAAAAGGGTTTAATTGCAAGATCTCCTAACCAACCATTAAAAGAGCGTTAAAAAATCAGATCTGAAGATAGTAGAACGGTGTTCTCTAGAAGGTAGAAAAACAGATATGTATCATCTTCTTCTTGTTCTTGTGAGCTTTTTGGGTTAATTGTCTTTGCTTACAAGGGTATGGTATTCTTCTTGGATTGGGATAATCATTGAAGTGGTTGAGTGAGTTGTTGAGATTCACTTGTGAGGGTTTAATCTTGCACCCGCAAGCAAGAGTTTGTTTCAGTTTAATCTTGCACCTATAAACAAGAGAATCTTAGTGGATTGAACTCTCGAGCAAGGAGGCTTGGGGAGTGGACAAACTCCAAGTTGGATAAACCACTATAAATCATGGCTTGATTTTCTCATCCCTTTCTCTTTATTTTTTTGCATTTTATTTGTAAGATTGCAGTTAATCTTTGTTTATTTTCACACAACAGTTTATATATTGAAATTTGATTCACGTTTTTAATAAGGAAAAGAAAAACAAGTTTTTGGAGCAAATTGATAAGACCCAATTTACTCTCCTCTTGGGTAACTAGCTGGGTTTACAATCTTAAGTTCACCTATCACACAAATCCTGTCTTCCATTAAAGATGAATCATGAATGTTGAAAAGTGAATGAAACTCATTATCCCTGCAATTGATTATGAAATTTGTGTTGAGAGGCTAGAAAGATGGTGCCCAAAATTTCATTTTGCACAAATATAAGATCCAATCCTTCTGAGTTGTATATATAACCCCCTTTAATATGTACAATTGTTTTGAAAATCAGACCAGATCGATTGATTGAACTGGTCAAATCATTAAACCAAACGAGTTAAAGTTATTAGAAAATTTCCTTTAGATTTTGCCATCTCCAAGGTTCGAACACAAGATTTAAAAGAGATATTGATAGACTTTTGCCACTAAGACATCACTTGCAATTATGAGACGATTATCTCAAAATTTTATTTATTTTATTTTTCGTCAGCTCCCTTGTATAGTTCCTCACCCAATGTAAAGGGCAATTTCGTTGACTTTCCTAATAAAATTA